CTACATACCAAGCGCGAAGCGCCATGAGGAATTCGGCGAGTCGCATGAAGGGTGCGCTGCATCCTGCTAAGGGTGTTCGACATCTTGAGCTTTCTTCGCTGCGGTGCGATTAGGACGCAACACGTGCACGGTGTCTGATGAAAAGGTTTTGGCCGTGCTCTGCGTCGCCCATCAGCGTGTTGGCAGTGCGTCAGGTACAAATGCATTTGGAGTAGTTTGGGCCATGCACAAGTGGGTTCCGCGTGCTTGTTACAATGGGGCGGCGTAGAGTTGAGGCGTGTTTCATGCGCACCCCGTTGGAGGAAGCTCTTTGTGGGTTTATGCTGACCGTTCCCCATCTAGTGTAAGCCGGCATCTTTCGCAGTGTGAAAGCGGGGTGATATTTTTAATGTTCTGGGGTACCGTTTCCCGCCGGTGCCAGACGATGGCGGCCGTAGACCTTCGAAGTTTACGGCGATCCAGATGACGTCCTCCCCTATGGTGCACTTTTTGGCGGTCGACCTGCCTGCATTCATTCTTTCAAAGTGATCGATTAGTAGGTTTGTTCATGGGCGGCTCCACCATAGAGGAGATCATGCAGATGGGATGTTGGAGAACGGACTCGATGGCGAACTATTGCGTTCGTGAGACCGCCTTCTAAACGACAGCTGGGGGCAGTAGTGTGCGCCGATTTTTCAAAGAAAACAAACATGTTGGATGGAATCGAGAATTGGCTAAGTTGGGGTTGGTGTTAGGGCTAGGGTTGGGGTCTGTCTACTGTATTTTTGCAATGAACTTACTTCTTTTGCGCAGGCAGTTAGCGGAAAGACTCGCACGATTCTGCATATAAAGTGAAATAAAGTATATGACGTAACGTCTGGCAAGCAAGAACAAGGGAAACGGATTATGGTAGTAGTCATATGAACGTGCGAGCAGCGAGACCATTAAGCGTCGGGCAGGATACCGATACGGTGACGCTGCAAACGTTTCGAGGCCTGCAGCATTACGATATTCAAAGGCGGAGACCCAGATCGATGAAACCAGTCGGAAACCAACCGGACGGTGGTCCCCCCGGCACTAAAAGGACAACCCACGCATGGTCGTACGCAAGAACATCGTATCATGCCATGTCAAATACTATATACCTAACTCCGCATGGCTAGCAAGACAAAATGAAATCGAGCCCGAGGGCGACCGCCCAGTTCGAGTCCCCGCACACAATATACCCCAGCGGTACGAATGAGTGGAGGTACCTTTCGACGCAAGAACTGTAAGCTGAGCATAGGTAGGTGCAACTCGTGACATCGGAACATCGCGTATTTTGCGGGGACGAATGTCGGAGCGTCTGAGCGGAGAATCACGTCCAGCCGTAAATGAATCCGCTGTGCCGCGGCATAGCACAGGATGCCAAAGGCCCACGGTGTTCAACCACCACGCTCCGACAAATGCCCCGTCGCGGGATATGGTCACTGATCGTAGTAAGACAGGTACGGACATCCACGTTGCCCCCCTTGCTCGCAGTGGTGGTAAGTCACGAAGGCGCAACCCTTGCGGTGGTGGTGGTGGTGCGCGCCCCGGCCTTCCTAGTATTCGAGCAGGTATTGCAGGTGGAACCGTTCGCCACGGATCGAAAAGTTACTCTGCGAGGCTGACTTCGCATTCTTGTTGGACGTGCCTGCCGATCGACGCCAGATTCAGAGCGCGTAAGAGAGGGGCGCTCATATCCCCTAGCCCTTCTTGCGCCACCTAGCTGTCCGGGCGGAGTCGCTTCAGCTCTGGCCCACCGCCAGCGGGAGCGCGACGGGCTTCGTCGCAGCAATCGTGCCAGAAGCAGACGAACCGCGCACCTGTGGGCGTGTTCACCACAGAAGGCCTGGCCGCAAAGTGCGGCGACCCACCCAAGGAGCTGTTCAGAAATGCCCTGAGGCCGATCGCCGGCTGTGGAGCGCAGGAACTGACACGACCGCCACTGAAGTTACTGTACGCCCCCCCTGCGTGCGACGGGTTTGCACCTTTCGATCCCGCTCGATAAGTTCACTTCGTGGGAAGAATATCAGCCGCACATTGTTTTGGGCCCGTTAACCGTGTGGACCTCGCGGCGTTTACGGCGTCGGTGCAGCGGGCTCCCTGGGGGTTCGCACGCCGGTTGCCATTCTCCTTCCATTTCGACTGCCCGGGTCAGCTGGGTGCGGTGGACAATTTGTGCTCACGACGTATCAAGAGTGTGCGTTCGGGAGCGGCTCCGTTCGGTATCCTTCCCTCTCCTCTCCAGTGATGTTAGGGTGTGCGGGGCATCATTCCGTGGAGTTCCGGCCGCATGGCATTGTCGTAGTCCCGGGTACCCAAACGTATTGGATTCCGTTGGTACTACAGTCGGGAGGTTGATAGTGGTTCGGACTGCCCAACGCGGAATCTTCTGTTGGCCCTGCCAAGACTGCTGCCTCGGCTTTTGGCAGAGACGATGGAACTGCATTGGTAAGCTCTGGAGAAGATTATCGGGGAATCCAAGAAAATGATAGCTTATTTCTCTCCCTCACTCCCGAAGCCTCTTGAGAAGTCCGAGATAGCATACCCTGAGAGATGCGACGTATGCGAAATATATTTTAACGCTCATGTCACGCAGAGAACAATTATTGATATCGTTGTGTTAATGTTGTTGTTGACTTTGTCTTCATAATAGAACCATTCCGGTCTCTTCTCGGTACCTTCTATAATCATTTCCGGTAAAACTGAGGCAGACGCCCTTTGTGGTCACACGCAATGACTGTACCAACATGGTACACCATGGGCAGGGTGCACGAAAAGGTCGTCTCGCACACGAAGGTATCCCCCGGAGGGTCGTTTCTCTTTTCGATCATTAGCTTCTCTTGAAACTTGGAGCCCATAAACTTCACGCAAGCCGCATATGGTGAACACATCGTCCGATACGAAATAGGATTGACGTTGTTTCACCCATACTGTGAGCGGGCTAGGTCCTATATTGATATTATATACACCAGGTTTGTGTGATCATGCGTGGGGGTTGGCAAGAGAGGATACTGGCTTGAGCTAATGATATCCCGACGAAAACAGGGTTCCCACCCGCGGGGGCCCTATTGTCGATGTGTATCGGTTTGAGAATACTGGTAACCCCCCCATCCCGAAATTCTTCAAACTCGGGTTGCTGGGTGTGCAACGAATTTGCTTGTTGTGCACCCGTTGTACACGCGTCTAGAAGTATATCACCACGTAGAGAAGAGAAACCACACACAACCACTTACTCCATTTATCTGCCTTTGACGTGCTCGATCATCTCTACGGCCGCTGATCATGTGTCAGCATGAGGCGGCCGGGGCGAGAGCCTGGCCGGAACCTACCTGGCGTGAAATATGCTAACAAAGGAGGGAAATGTGGAGCAAAGTAGTTTATCTTGTGCGTGTTGGAATGGAGCAAGAAAGAAGTATCGCCGTGCCCTGCCCCCCATATTCTAGGTATTAGGGGGGCAATGGCGTGACCGGTGCAAAATTCGGACGTGAATATTTGACGAGCGTCAAACACATAGCTGACCGGCGGGGTCAAGAGGACAACATCATGCCAGGAATCGTCTGTTATTTCTGTTTTCTTTTATCTTCCTTAGCCTCCCATGTCGACGGGGGGCGATGGGCTCTCCATTATCGATCGCTTTTGTCCGCAATGTTTCCTGGTAAACTTGCCTTTGAGAACCTTTGTTCGGAGGAAGGCGCCCACGTTAGGAGCACCAGTCCGCGTGCTAGAAAAGAGGGGTACCGGGCAGGGAGCGGAGCGGGTTTTTCTGTGCAGGCATCAACCACCACCACCAACAACAACAACAACAACAACGGTGTCTCACACATCTCCGAAAGTGCCGGGCTTCAGACACACACATTCGAGCCACGATGACCTGACGGTACCCCGTTTTCCGCACTCGGCGCCCGCCTGAGCAACATAACATACCACGAGCACCGTGTTCGACGACGGCAAGTCCACGGGCTGCGCCAACAACGCGCGGTCCAGAGGTCGTTCGCGCAGCCGCGGTTGAAGGCCTCCACTCCTGGCTGGTTGTTGACGGCGATCCGCACTCGTGCGCGACGCAAGGCGTCAGAGAACCCCGTACCGAGGAGGTGGAGCTGGTCGACCACCTCCTACTTGGTGATGATATGCTTGGACAACCAAGCGCGGGAAGACCTCACCTGCTCGAAAAGGCTCCGCGCCCGTCTCAACAACCCGCATTCGATGAAGGAGGTGTCGGAAGATCCGCTAGGACGAGAGACGGCAAAATACCGTGCGCACCGCCACGGCCCTTCGTCGGAAGGGGAGACAGCGCCAGCCGAGCTCGCCAAGGATGTACACGCTGGAGTTGCAGTTGAGATCGATCTGGCTACGGACGAACTTGTCGAATGCCGTCACCGTAGCAACCCGTTCCCGAGCCTCGAAAGCCTCGCCATCGTCAGGCAAGGCAGTCGGAACATGCGGGACTTTTTCTACGATTGGAGTCAGGCGGAATAACCATTGCACGCGGGAGCTATCCGCGCACCGAGCCCTTCCCGAGTAAACACCCGGGACAAGATCCAGCGTGGATCGCGCTCTTCGGGCAACGGCCGTGCAGCACGCGAGAAGGTTGAGCTGGCCAGATCGCGGCACAAATGTCGGGAAGAAACAGGTCCGGCAGGGTCGCAGGTGGCACCACCGCGGCTGGTGGAGTTAGCGACGCGGCCGGCTCTGGCGGAATGGGCGCCGCTACACGCCACGACGGTCTAGACTGCCTTGGTGGTGTATGCTGTCTGCCTAGGTCTCGCTGCCGCCAAGTTCTTCGAGGCTTCGTGACCAGAAGAGCGATACGTTTCCACAAGCAACCGACCATATCCCGATGTATTTCCATCTTTTTGCCAAGTTCGAATGGATCGATTGGGAAACGAGTTGGCCCCCTTTCAAGTCCTCCCTGATTCGATTTCGCCGTCAACGTCGTGCCCCCTCCAATCCTCCCTCAAGTGCACCATGGCATAGGAACACTCTTTGGTTCAGAAGTCCGAGCCGCCCCCGCCCCTGTGCTCCTGCCACGCTTTACTTACCTCTGGATATTCCTGTCAAATGCTACCTTGCACGGCCTCAGTCCCATGCCTACCACCAACCGACTCCACCAATACGCTTTCCTGCCACCCCGTGGTGGTTGTAGACACCTCCCCTCTCTCCCGGCTTCACGTGATATCTCGAGTCAAGAGGCTGCGACAAGTCAAGATTGCGCAACCCCGATCGCTATCGGGTCATGTATGAAAAAGCCCATTCGATGCGGAGCGTCCAGCCCCCGAATCGTCCGCTGGCTGCCGTATCACCTCTGCCAGCAGCGATACTACGGGGTTCCCTTTTGGCGGCGCAATCTTCACGTGCCGGACAGGTCCTACACCGTGAAAACGGCTGACACTCGAATAACACGACGTTGTTACTATTGTCTTGCTGCTGTTACCACCCCCGCCGGCCGGCAGAACCCCTCTATCCACCAGGTAAGCGAACACATACAACCAGAAGCCACAAATGAATATACCCCCCGCCCGGGCAGTTGACGGAGATTGTCGGAAAGCCCTATTCACGTCAATTGTCTGCCTTCCCATTCTCCTCAGCAGGAATTTCGCGAGAAGCCCGACACACCATCCATTACGGCCTCTGCGTTCCAGCTCCGCTTGCCCTGCAGCACCTACTCTTCTTATCAAACGAGGACTCCCGCCATGCTGACAGCGACTTCCCGGGGATGACTTGTAGCTGAACACGTCTCGCGAGACATCTATCAGACTACATGTACGACGAAGGATTTTTAACGAGATCAGCCGGCAGCAAGAGTCGTTCGCTCTGAATTTCACAATTTTTGGATGATGAAAGTAACTGGTTCTCCTAATGTGGTATTTCCAGGGTCCCGGGTTGCTGCCGTTGGCAGTGATTGTTCGGTACAACTAGGGAGTTTGGTGCAACTAGGACCGCAATCTAGGAGAACTGAAATGGACAGCACATGTTCATAGAAAGTATGTGAGCTATTCTGCGACGTATCTCGGCATGGCATGGGTGTACAAGTCAGAAATTGGAGATTTGTTTGGCTGGAAATGATCGCAGTCTGGGGCTGTTACGCCGGTGGGTCGGGTGGTCCTTTGCCCACTCACACTCCCCTCCGCCTAACACTTCAGTCCCGATGCTGGAAACGCCCAAGACGAACATCTCAACGAACGAACCCCTCTGGGGGCAACGAGTACAACTGTCTGGCGTCCAGGCCGAGCTCCTGTCATTCATGGACATCGTTCCCGGGTATAAGGTTAAGAAAACGTTGGTGAGAGAGAGAGGGTCATCGGACTATGTAAAGAAAGATGTGAAACATCACTGAACGTTCAGACCCCATGTCGCGTAGGTATCATGTTGCCACACCTTCTCGAAAGCCGACACGACGTCCAGTAGGTGCCAATTTAGTTTGAGACAGCTTATTGGCGGAGGCAGTATTCACTCTTTTGTCAATTTGCCACTTGTCGGTGGAATTCTACGCCAGATCTGGTGAATCCATATATTCATGTCCCGCATTAACTACTCTATGGGTTCCGTGTTGCTGTCTTAGTCTAGGGTGTAATCATTTGGTGTATCTATGAAACAGGAGGATTTTGAGCTTGAACTGGTCGCGGTTGACGGGTTGGACTCCCCCACTTACCACTTTCTTACTCACCCTCCCATTCGCCGAACACTCGCCTTGCTACGCGTGATACGGACAAGACGAGTATGTCAACGAACGAGCCTCTCTGGGGCAACGTGAGACAGGTCGGGCCATTGGGTTACTACAAAGTAGTGAACCAACAGTGACCGTTCGGATCCCATGTTTCGTTGGAACTACACATACGTTTGTAGTGGTCACGCATTCCGGCAGCGATAACTTATTGAAAATGTTATATACGACACCGGTGTCGTACTTCCTTATATACGACACCTACCATTTCTTGGCCCACAGGGCTCCAATTGGCGCACAACAAAATGCGCTGTGTAGCCACGGCCCGCAGCTATCAGCCCATACGATTTTGGGTCAAATCGGCCAAGTGGTTGCGGAGGAAGAGCCGAAAATAGGGGGCTCCGCAACTTACCGGGGGGGTGTCAGCGATGTTCCGGTCATAACTCCTTGCACAGACATCGCCTGATCGCACGTAAACTCGCGATGAGTACGTACAGGCCAGAGCTATCGTTCAAGCCGCTGTGGGGCGAAATCCACCCAGTCAGTGCCATGGTACGCCTGCACCCGGCTGGACGGTGTCCCCAAGGGCGGTGTCGTAGATAAGCTTATTTACTCTTCAACCACTTGGCCGATTTGACCCAAAATCGTATGGGCTGATAGCTGCGGGCCGTGGCTACACAGCGCATTTTGTTGTACGCCGATTGGAGCCCTGTGGGCCAAGAAATGGTAGGTGTCGTATATAAGGAAGTACGACACCGGTGTCGTATATAACAGATTGTTTCATTTGTAGTAAGAAGATGCAGCTGTATGCATTCATTCGTAGGTGCGGTGTGATAAGTGACGTTGGTGAAACGTAACATGTAGCGACGAGCTCTCTGGAGGAGCTCGTGAATGAATTTGATCGTTGATCGGGGGATACAATAGTTGTAGCAAGATCACGAGGTGTTGTGAGCATCACGGGGCTCACTCTCCATCTATCCCTCATCCAACTCTGGAAGTAAGCTGCGAAGTGAACAGCAGCAGTCAGTCAGCACAGACTTCGGTCTGAACATCATCACACAGACTAATGCTGTCTGGAACTTGAGAAAGGCGTCCCGTCTGCGGACGAGGTACAGGGCACGTCGACACTACGCAAACTGCCGGAATATTTGTGGGTAGTAACACCGTCGCTCAATGTGGATTGGTTGTTTATGTGTTTCCATACCGTGCCGGAACGGCGTTAGTCTACGTCTCGAGTCTGTATATGGCATTTCTCGGAGTATAGTCTATGCAAACACGTCGAGTACGAATGCTTCCAATCGCGGCTCCGAGGCAGCATGAGTGTGCGGCTACTGTTTGCTGAGTTGAAAGATGGCAGGACCTCTGCTGAGGAGGTTGTTGCAGCACCTTGCTTGATTTCCAATAGAATTCATATCGGAACTGCCTATTGTCGCGATTTTTCTCAGACAGTTTCATTTGTAACCGTACAGAATTCGTTTCCTCGTCCGCAGCTTTCAGGAAATTGAGTTGTGGCGCTTTGCCATTTCGTCCCCCTCCTTTCCCCTTGCTGAGTCGTTTTTAGCCGCTTCCTTTCCGCACGGGAGATGAATGACTTGGACTGCAGACATGAAGCTTATCCGCATGGAAGCCCGGTGTCGTCGTGGGTTGGATGGCGAGGAAGCACTAGCTTCCGATAGACCCGATCACGCACCGAATGATGTTCGAGAAAGTCTTCTTGAGTGAGGTAGGTGGGGGATGAGCTGTCGTGACTACTTTCGTTATCTGATGGTCGGGTGCACTGGATTCGCTGTAATTATTCACGTTCATGCAACGCGTGTGATGGCATTCTCATGCCGATCAGTATTGAGCGCGACACTCTTAGATTCACTACTGTACCTTCGCTTGGCGGTTCTCCCCCGTGGGTCACGTCGGGCTTTTAAGGCCGAGGTTGGACTTCGAAACCAGCCAGTCGCATACGATCTGCTACTTCAGTCACTGGTACTCCCATTGCTGTAGGCGTGAATGTGTCTATTGCAAGTAATGTAAGAAATTAGTTGCCATCATCTTAAATATGGCTACAGTGAAAGAAGGTGTTTGCAGTATGCTTGGGGCTGAACCCCACGTCGCCCAACGCAGTATCCTATATTTTTCCATGCTTCCCGTTACAATGTTCAGTGGCAGGGTCTCACGCCACCTGCGTACACCTTAAAATCGTACCCGAGAGCAGAGGACTTGCTCCAGCTGTGACCAGTCGCCCGGGGTGACCGCACGGCGGGAGGCCATTGCAGAGCAAACAGCGAGGACCATCAGGCACAAGAATGAAGCCGCCGGCGTTGTTACAGCGCCCACCAACATTTTACCAAAGAACATCACCCCAGCACACAACAACATGAGAACCAGTTCAGCGCTATCTCTCACGTTCCCTTCAAAATGATTCTTTTCCATGCATGGACATGATAAAGGGCTAACTTGCCACAATGAACACTCCGAGCTTCCCGCACAGCTCCTGAACGACCAACTATAGTATTCGAAATATTTCAGCATTGCGAACAATATTTTCCGAACTGTTCGTCTATTTCACACATGAACGTGTCTTTTCGGTGCCGATCGAAGCTTAGGAAACATTTCTACAACGAGTTGTCCAGGGTTGCACGGGCAGTGTCTGTGGCCGTGCTGGCGGGCCCGAAGAACTGCTCGTATTCTTGACGATGCGGCCGTGGTCTAGGAAGCGACGATCGAGTAAGACGTGGCGGAACGAGTGCGATCGGCCGGCAATGCTCGCTGGAGGAGAAGGTGCGGCGGTGGGGTCTGTCTCCGCTCTAACTCCCGCGGGAAGCCGGCTTGTCCGAACGAGTGCCGACAGGTAGCACCCCCGACGGCTTGGGCGACGTGAAGTCCATGGGGACGACCACACTCGCAGCAGCCAGCATCCTTTGGTGTTTGTAGCCGAAGGAGGGGGAGCGCGGGTGGGTACAGACTACCGGGGACACGAAATGATTTCAACGGCAAGGACCGGCGGAGACGCGACCAGGAAGGAAACCCCCCTCCACGGATCGCGGGGGAGCAGTCAATACCATGAGCACAACTCTAGCTAGCCACAAACGAGACGCTTGCAGCCATCTTTTTCTGTCCTCCCCGGCTCTACTCGCCGCAGCCCCGACAAAATACACCTTGGGATCATGTCCAACTTCCATCGACCTGCACTTTCCTGAGACCTCTGGAAATAACATGATCCATGGCGGCGCGCTGAGCAGATCGTGACGGCGCTGCGGTTTCTTTGTCTTCATCGCCGAGCCGCCCCCTCCCCTTCACACTTGCTTTTCGTTCCCATGTAGACTATGTACTAGTGCAAACCAGTGAGTAAAAAAACTGCTGTAACCTCACACAAAGAACCACACAAATAGATGAACGCGCGGCTTTTTTTCATCCACAGTCAGCAAAAAGCGAACGGAATGATGCATGGGAAGTCATCCAAGCCGCCGTGGGCAAGGCCAATAATGCGGCCACGAAGAGCGTGAAGCAAGGTGTGATCGAAGGCGAAACGTCTTTCAGGGGGATCATGGAAGCGATCTTCTGACGCAACGGTGGCAGGGAGTGCGTCACCAACCTCTACCGTGGCGAACCAAAAGTCGTTGGCTGCTGGGGCCGAATACCGGCAATGAGGCCCGGCTTTATGAAGTCCTCCACCGCCAGCGCCATTGCCAAAAGGGACAGCACGAGGCTGGCCAGGCTTTTGACATCCGACCTCGCTAGAGGCAGGGTCACGGGAACAAACGGTGAACGCTTTGAGGCCGTGTTCGTCAGCGAAACTAGCCCCGGAATCTGGTTGTCTGGTACGGAAGGAAGGTCGAACGATGGCCGGCGGCATTCGCCAACGAGCAAGTCCTACATATTTGATGGTTTGATTTCATCTTGCAGGAAATACACGAACGAACGTGTCGCGACGACCATGATCCTTCGGGGTTATACCGTTTCGGCCAAAAGCAACCGATTTTCGCGGTAACTTCGGCATGAGTTTACTCCCCATGATATTGACACCTGATCCAAGGGCGTGACACGGAAAAAGACGCCAAAGACCACGTTAGTTTCCTCGTGGCAGCCTGCAGGCTGGAGGGACGTAGGCGTGACAGACTGTTCGTGGGTCTGCGAACATTGGCATTTGATACATGTGCTGGATGATTTGGTGTCACGCAGACTGGTAAGATTGCCGTTTGGTAGGGAGCACCGCGATGAATCACGGGGCCTCCTTGCTGTGGGAGCCGCTCTTTGAGCACTGCCTCTTTCGTCCGTGTGAAGGACGGTCGTCTACCTCCCGTGAAGTTAATACATCACCAAAACAGTCTCACCCGATAAATAAGTGGCGTAGGCCGCAAACACTCTAGAGTTTTTTGCCCCTCGAGGGAAGCCACATTGGGATGAGCTCT